TGCTGCCGATGAGATTGTACTCCTCGCCGTCCCAACTCGCAAATTCGATCGTGCGGAGTGGTCGCCAACCCAACCGCCGTAGTTCACCAAAGACACGCACGATTTCCAGCATGATGGCGGTGCCACTACCTGGGTCCGCCGCCCCAGTACACCAAGCGTCACGATGGTTTCCGACAATGATTTTCTTCTCGGGCTGTTCCCAGCCGGACATCTTGCCGAGGACATTGTAAATGGGCTGCTTGGCCTCTTCATCTTGTATGTTCTTCAGGTTCACTTTTGGAGATTCCTGATCTCCCGTCCAGTATTCGACCTCTGGGACGCCAATCCAGTCACCTGAGAATTGCTTGCCATGTCCCTGGAGCGCTTGTAGCAAGTGCTTGGCATCATTCCAAGAGATTGGGATGGAAGGAATCTTGTTGAGACCGGCGCTCTCTTCAGGTTTCAATCGTCTCTTGTTGTCGGGAGTTGACGCCCATCCGGGAGTCAGCACATCCCCGACAACCCACGACATGAGACTAACAGCGCCTCTCTGAACACCGTCTTCCGGCATGAACCGTCCATCAGGAAAGGTGGGTCCTTGAATGAAGCCATCTTGCGCAGGATCGGAATAGATGATACATCCAATGGCACCGGCCAATTCTGCCGCTTTGACCTTCAGCGCCCTGTCGCCCTGGGAACCGTAGTACCGAACGAGCAGAACTGCGTCTTTGACGGAGATGCCTTCGTCGTCCAATCGCTTGAAATCTTCTCTCGACCCAAAGTTGGCGTAAATCAACGGTCCTGTCACATCGCCTGCCTTGGAATGACCGTGAAACACCAGAGCCTGCTCTTGATCCTCCTCAATCCTGGCCTCCCATTTTAGGTCCTCTGGCTCGACAATCGCGACTCTCCGGCCGTCCTTCCGGGGGTAATTCAGATAGACCTCGTACTTCTCCATCTCGACATCCTCCAACTCGCCCGCCTTGAAAAGCTCCGCGACCCATTCACCCAGGACGTAGTTCCCTTCGGTACCTGCGATGTGTGGAAAATCTGTTATGTGCTCCAGATACTTCTGCATATGTCCATGGTCGTTCATGTGATTTTGTACGAATACTCTGATGGACTCCGGGTCGTACATTTGACCCATGCCCATCCGATTTCTTCCAAATGATAACACGTCTGAAGCTATGAGTACATAGAGAACCCCCATGATAAGGAAGACCCCGAACAGTCGCCCCAGAATGACGACGCGATTTGCATCCAACTGTTGGTAGTTTATGCTCGGCCAACGTATGTTCGAGAGGTAATTGCGGACGGACGGCAAGGACAAGGAGGAAAAGGAGTTCGTGAAGCTGGAGAAGGACTTGGACAGGCGATATCGGAGGAGGGATCGGTTCGAGGAGGAATCACTCAGAGGGTCTTCGATGTCCATCTGCTGCATCTCTCGGCGGACGTCGTTCTCGCCATCTTGTTCGATTCCGTCGAGCGAGTCGAGACTCGGTCGCGCCGACTCGACGGTTGGAGGGCGATAGTTCCTCGCGGAGACGAGAAGGCCTTGCCTTTCAGCATCGTCGCTGATCTCTTCTGGGCCGAGCCGCGATTGTGATGAAGCAGGGCGAGATGAGGTGGCCTCCTCGTAGGTGGGAATGGGCAGGTGTTCGTATTGCGCTTTGTCGCCCATGATTATCGTCGCTGAGGGTCGTGTCCCGAAGGACGCTCCTGACTACCGCATTATCGTCGGTTTCATTCAAAGTAGAGTGTTGGCACGACGCTGATCGAGGCCATGTCACAAATGACTTTTTGCCCAGTCATGCGACGAAAGACCGAAGGTGCTGCAGTCGAGTCCAAGATATGAACTGCGCCTCCCTAAGAGTCTCGGCCCTCGCAGCATACGAATCCTCCAAGACGAACTCCCCACTTGGACACGTTCCACCTCGCTCTCACCCGAGGTCTCGCGTCCGGAAGCATAATACCCATGACCGTGTATGCTTGCATAATTGTGGTCCCAGAGGGTAAGATGATATGTTTGAGAGGACTGTGGCTTCTACAGCAATGAAAATCCTGGGAGAACGTGAGACCGATATGCGATGAAGCCGAAATCACTGCAAGCTACGGATGTACAGGCAGATCTTCGTGCTACTAAAAACTCATGGCGTACTATCGTATGCGCCTTCGCCATAGCAGACTCCTTCGACGGTAGTCCCATTGACCTGCTGGACGGCCAGGCCATCTGCACCGAACAAGGCCATCTGCCCACCACCGTCGCGGTAGTCGTACGGCATCCAACCCACGCTTGCTGGTCCATCGGTCGGGTCCTTGACAAACGCAAGAACATAATCCTGCATGGCTGCGCTGGTCTCGATCTCTAGCTGCGACGGCTCTCCGGCCCTGATACCGTACGTCCCAAACATCATCGGCAGGTCTGCCGCATGATACGCTCCCATCCACCACAGCGGATTAATGTTGGAGAAATTCCCGCCGTAGACATATCGGTAGGTGGAGATGTTCAAGTCATTTCGGTATAAGCTGGAATTAGAGATGCCGCAGACGGTGTTGAGCGTACCTGCCATCACTGCTTGAGGATTCGGACCATCCGTGAGATTGTTGAGCGGATATGGCGCCAGAGACGAGTACTCATTGGCCGTGTTGGAGAGGACTGCTGCCACGTTGGCCACCTGCCCTGCGAGATAACGAGCCGTGTAGTTGCTGAACACGACATCCTCATCCGCAATCGGTGTGAAAGCGATTGGTGCCTGGTGAGGACTGGTCGTGGTTGAGTTGTCCTGGTACTGCCCGACAAAGTTCTCGATATCGCTGACAGGCACTTGCCTCATACATTGCAATTCGGCGGTCTTATTGTTCGGGAAATCGCAACCCAAGTTCCTGGCAACGAACGTAAAATTGGTCCCTTGGAAATCAGTGCCTGCTCGGCTCGACAGTGCTGTACCGGATTGCATGAAGAAGCCCCGAGCAATGGGATCGTCATAGTAAGCAAAATTATAGTAATCGGTACTTCGAGAGCCAGCTGACTGTCCCCATAGCGTGAGAGCAGTCGGGTCGCCTCCAAAGGCAGCAATATTTGCCCGAACCCACTCCAAGGCGGCACGCTGATCACGAAGCCCAAGGTTTTGGGTCTCCAGCCCTGCAGCGTTCGGAAAGCCCATGATGTTGAGCCGATAGTTGATAGTCACGACAATGTGGCTTTGACTGCGAGATACCCACTCTGCTGGAATTTGAACGGGTATATTGACGCCGCCAGTGACCATGCCGCCTTTAAGATGTGTTAGACAGATTGATCGAGAGAGGCTGAGGCCACTTACCTCCTGTCATAAACATGATGACTGGAAGCTTCGAGGCCGCCGTGGCGTTTGCAGGCGTCCAGATAGCCAGGCTCAGGCAATCTTCCGATGTACCGTATGCATAAAGACCAGCGCTAGTGCTTTCACCACCATCGAAGATGAGCCATTCCGGTATCTGGTCGCTCCAGACCGATTTCACCCTACTCACAAACTGGGGGCAGGACCGCGGGTACTGGGTGGCATCGTACCGCTTGCTCGACGCTGGCAACTTTTGAGGTGGAAGCCAACGAAGCTCTCCCACCGGAGGTTGAGCGAAAGGGACATTGCGAAACTCGCGCACTGATGGATAGGTTGGATTGAGGAGACCAGTAAAAATCCCTGTGTTGGCTGTGACTGACAGACTCTGACTGGAGATACATGCCGCCTCTGCAAATGACACTAGCAAATTCAGGGCAACAGGGAGAAGCGACTTCATAGTGGTAACAGGTCTCAATATTGTGCACTGACTTCGGGAAAGCAGCTGGCCACGCTCCTCTTCTCAGGATATATACCATACCCACTGTTCCCCATCCTCCTCACTTGCCCTCTCCTGTGTAGCGTCCTCTGTGCAACTGACTCCGACCTCGTGCCGCTTCGCCGGCTGCTTGCCCGAGGGCAGACCGGAAAGGAGCAGGCGAAGCAGGCGTGACGTGGGTAAAATTGTACGAATAGAGGTGTCAACAATTCTGCCAGCGGGTAAATATGAAGCCACCATATCATTTGCGGGGAAGATCATCATTGCATGCATCCGCTAGACGTTAAGCATCCTCGCCGCGGGGTCGACGAGCTTGTACTCTTCCGCCGATGTTCGAGTGCCGCTTGGGACAAAGACAACAGCCGCAAGTTGGAGATGTTGAGCTGTCGGGATGGAGGCTGGAGAGTGGCGGCCAGGTAGCCGGCGTGGCCAGGTTGACACAACTTGTGGTAATCTATCTTCCTTGATCTTCAGATGCACACCTGTTGTGAGTGATGTGTAAGGCTCAATAAGTTTGCTCAGTTTCCTGACAGCTTGATGTTTCTGTAGGAGGCAAAGCAATTGACTTGGTGCAAAGCACGATAAACATGCAGCCAGAAGCCAGCGAAGTCAGCGCAGGGAGAAGTTTGTGTCAAACCTCTGGTTTTCGGGAAATATGTGATACGGACATCCGGCCTCACTGATTTATCGAGGCCGCGATTAACATTTTACTGTGTCAGATTCACTGCACTCATTCACAACAGCTAACATGCCTTCGCTTTACGACCACGCGTCACTGAGCCCTGACTCAACAGCCACTGTGTGTTGTCCTCGCGGTTTCATCTTCTATTCAAGGCCTATATTTACGATCGATCCATCGAGAGAATTGTCAGTAAACGATTCATCTGACAAAGCAGTAATCCCCGGGACGACAAAGCGACGACGTGGTCAAAAGCTGAGAACAACTTGGAAATGCCGAAAATGTGCGACTACATGCGTCAGGCATGCGGCGACCTCGGAGGTGGATGTGGCGTGGATGCGCATACCAATCCAACCCATGAGCAGGTATCAGGTAGAAGTGATCTTTGCCCTTCTCATGATAGTATACCTTGGGGACCAGAAATGCTGATTCTCGAGCATCTTCATTATGTCTCAGGCATAGCACATGATGGAGAGTGAGCACACAGACGAATATTAAAAAATAATAAAAGGGTTCCTCGAGCTTTGAATTACTTTTGCGTTTCCTCATCGTGGTCACCAATGACTTGACCTTGACCTTGACTTTGACCTCTAATCAACCTCTCATTCCACTCCCTCTCCATCTTCTGCACCCGTTCCCACGCTTCCCTCCTCTTATCCTGCCCCAGAACCTTGTCTAGCTTCCCGTCATCCTCCCGAGTACTGTTCATCGGACTTGTCTCTTCCTCGCCCTCAGCCGCCATCACGTCCTGTCTCCTCCGTCCAAATCGCGCCGCCATATCCGCCAAACTCGAGAATCTCGCCCTGTTCACATCCTCCTCCCCCCTCTTGAGTAGATTGTCCCGTTCCGCTTTCCACGCCCTATACGGCCGTTTCTCCTTCCTCACGGCCTCGCCACTACCCGCTTCGCCAGAACCGCCAGCCTCCTCGCCACATTCATACACGTTGTACCCGCAAAATTCCCACACGCGGAGCTGTTTCTCAAACCCGCTGTTCGGCGTGATCTGGGACCGCGACTCACGCGCCAAGCTGAGCGCCGAGGCGTATGACAGTTGGAAACGCCGCATTACTGCGCAAGGTGGATGGACATGCATGTTAGCGATGTATTTTTTCACGTTTCTGTGTCTTCCTGTCTCACGGAGGTGATCTCTCGGAGAAAGCCCGTAGAATCTCCTAGACAGATCGCTAAGTCGGAGCCCAGTCAAGGTCGCGTGTAGGTATGTCCGAGAGGAGGTTACATCGACATCGACATGTAGAGAAACAGAGAAACACAGACAGAGGGGCAGGGAGGTAGCAGGAAGAGAAAACGTGAAACGTAGGGCAAGCAAGCGACCTACAGAACGCCACGACGAATGCCCCCGAGCGAGAAACTCCCTGCTTGCAATGCACCAACACGCCGGGCCGATCTGGCCTATTAGTCGCTTCTGACGGCCGAGGTTCGTAGATGCTGATATCGAGATTTTTGTTTTTGCCGTCGATGCTTGCGTCAAGGCCCTCCTGGATCCAATCGCACGTCTCGTCCAGCCACTCCAGTATATCGGCGAGCGGGTCGTCGTCGAGATCCAGGACTTTAACCTCGACGCCGCGTCGGACAATGCGACCGTCCCGTTGAGTGTCAGCGTGAGCGTCAGACTCAGCCTTGGCCGCAGCCGCAGCGCCAGCGTCAGCATCGACATCGACATCGGCATCGGCAAACCCCGGATTCAGCGATCGGGACATCTCATGGCGCTGTAGTACCGAGACGATCCTGACGATATTGTGCGCCTGAAGCTGTTGGCGCGAAGACGCGGCGAATCGGCTGGGGAGAGGGGAGTTTCGAGTTAGTTAGCAATTCTCACACTTGAGTGAGAAAGCACGAACGCATTATGAGGGAAGGTCAGGAACAGGGTACGAACTCTGCGATGAACAAGCCAGGGACGGCTTTGATGGGCACTAAAGTTGGGGTCTTGAGGTCCGACATTTTCGGGTTGCTGGTACGTAGCAGACGGCTCGAATCAATGGGCAGGCGGTGTGACGATTTCTTGAACGCCCGTGTCAAGCCAGAGGTACAGTATAATAAAGCTACGGAGAAATTGAGAATCGATATACATGGTCAAGTAGGCATCAGCGATCTCGCACTATGGGGCATGCGCGTCAAGCGTGTCGCGATGATCCCGTAATCGTAAACCTCAGCCTCAGCTTCACCGCATATTGGTTTTTCTTTTGGATGTTGCCTGCGGTGCACAGGACAGTACTGTACCTTTACCCTGACACTTACACATCAACCACTCGCAGCCTAACGGACACAGCAAAAATCGAACTGGTGCTGGATATGGCTTCTGATGACTGCTTTGGTGGAGACGGACGAGAATACCAAGCAGTGGGTCAATGGCATGCCAACGCTTAGTTAAAGACTGCATCCCTTGTCACCTCTGATCCAAACGGATCAAGACGACACCTTACAGTACGAACCATCCCAGCTTCCAGGCACGCTCTTCCTCTGCCTTATCGGGTCTAATGTACGAGAACATCAAGTCTCCCATCCTCGGTTTCACGGTTTGCTTGACTTCCTTCGGCTTCGTCCTCAACAGTTCAAAACTTTGACTGAACGACGACAATTCGCTTTCTGCGTTCTTATTGTCGAAGGATACCCAGTATCATGGTCGAAGATCCTTCCATTGAGGTGCGATCAGCCTGTCGAGACATTTACTCCCGCCCGCTGCCGGATCACCACATGCTCATTCTCGGGGTCGCGTACGCCTGAATTTGGGTTCCACGCGTTCATGGAAACGGTGATACCTTCGTGCGATATCAACAGCGAACTTTCCACTAGATTGTTGGGCACGCTCCCTGTAAATAACAGGCACATCGTCTCAATCAGATTTCGTGGCGTAGGCAACGCCGCGACGAATCCCTTTACGAATGCTTCCGTGGTAGGGGCTTCCTGGGCCCTGTAGATCAACCCAGCGGCATGCAAGCGCTCATAGAATGCCAGGACTCCTGCGCGCTTAGGAAAGAGGTTCGGAATGACCATGGTGCGTGCAATATACAAGCCGAGCTCCAGGATTGTTTCCACCACGCTGTATTTGCAGAACTCGGTTGAGGTTGCTGATGCGTGGCCACAGGAGCTACACATACAGCTGGACTCTAATATGACCGAGATCTCATCCATTCTGTCTCATGCTTGTTGAAACGGTAGTCGCGCTGCTTTAGCCATCTGTGGAGCCATGCGACGCAGCTCTGGAGACCAGGAGATCACCGTCTCCACCAGTCCGTAGCCTGAAAGGCCACGCATAGTGCTCGCGTGTGGGAGGAAGAACTCTTGAGATTTCGTATGGTCGTATTGTAGTGTCGACGAAAGGAGACTCGCAGCTCCACCAGTGAATACGGCGACCAGTGAAGGCTCGATGTCTGTAAAAGTTCGACCAAAGCAGGACCGGAACAATTTCTCCCACGTCACCATTCCCCCACTAACAGGAGCGAGTTGGTTCTTGGGCTCAGCAACAGCTCCAGTCTTGAGAGCCGACCGATGCGATGGGCCTAGGATGTGGCCGATGTCTGCAAATGCTTCCGAGAGCGGCAACAGCTCGGCGGCTTCATCACTGTACAAGGGCACATCTGATCGGAGGACGAATTGAGCTTCTTTTGCGTTAGTTCCGGGGCGCGCATAGAGCAGTACTCCGTCGGGGTCTTCAACGGCCACTCTGAGGTCGAATAGATATTCCGCAACAGCTGCAAACCAGTAGGCATCAGAACCGGCGTGCTCGAGAGAGAAGTTCTTCGCGCCGCCACCGACAAGATCGCTCAAGTTCACCAGAGCTTCAACGATTTGGGCGACATTGACATGATCAGTCCCTGTTTCGAGGTCTTCATGGTTTCGAGAAATCAGTGTCCCAAACGGAGACGTGGCAAGCAAGCCCTGACACAGATATACCAAGCGTTTCCATTGGGAATCACTGGGCTCCCACCCTTCCCACATTCCGTCCGTCTGTATATTACTTCCAAGCTTCATTATGACAGCCACGATGACATCCGAGGCAAAATATTCGCCCAGACAGCTTACGATGCCCAGGAAAGCGAATCCGCCGTTAGACTCAGCGAGGATCCTCACAATGTGTCGATCCGAAAACCCGATGCCCATTCTCTGACCATAGAACTCGGCCTGGGGAAGACTGGAAAAGACATTAACGGGATTCCGCTGGCCATGTAGGGAGATATTGAACTGCGAGCCAATTAGCTCCGCGACCTGGATGAGGTACGGGTCGACGCCGGCGGCGTTGAATTGCAGCAACTGCTCTGTTGTAAAAGTATGTCTCGCTTTCGTCAAGGCATCCCAGTCTTTCACCGAGGCCATTGTTTCTGTTGCCGATGAAGGCTTCCTCGAGGATCAAGGGTGAGCATTATAAAAAGGCAGTCATCACAACGCAGGCGTCACCGTGTTCAATGTCACGCCAATCATGCTTCGCATGGTCGGACACGAATACGAACCGAGCGTCGAGCTGTAGCTGTACAGACTGAAGTCTTCCCGGCACATACCTCATGTTCCTGCTCGAGCATGCTCGCCAACGATCTTCAGCCGGGCTTGCCATTCAGCAACCTTGGGACCGAGTACGGAGGAGACTCGATATTGGCAACGTAGGAGCCATATCATTTGCCCCGGCCAGGCGTTTCTAGCGATGATCGATGCGCTTGTCCATGAGCTTGCCCCTGTGCCTGCTGATGATGTTAAATGTTGATACAGGGCAGAAGCAAGACTCGAAGCAGGCGATGATACAAGTCGCGCCAAGTTTCGCGCGTGGACGTCTGACGGTCATTTGAAACCCACCGTTTTCTCGGCCACGCTTGACTTTCTTCGTTCAATGAGGCATCACTGACTTGACAGTAATAACAGCCGCCCGCTCGTTACTGACACTGACTACCACGGAATAGAGCGTAACCATGCCGGAAACGCAGGAGACTCCGGCTAATGGCGAGATGGATGCGGAGGCTGCAATGCGCGAGATGATGGGTTTCAGCTCGTTCACCACTCGTCCTAAGAACCGATCGGGTGAGTCTTTTCTGAGGTTGAGATGCGATCTTCCCTTCAAACAAGCGACCTGTCCTCAAATACAACACCGTCCGCGGAGAAATAGCGCAGCGGCGTCAGTTGAACCAGAGTTGCCACTCGGTGGCTCTCCTCTCCCTGTGGCAGGCCCAATCTCTGGGGATCAATCGCTCAAGCATATGTTTTCCCCCTTACGCACCAAGCCAGCAGTACCGCCCACGAAGACAAGAACCTTCTCTCTCATGTTTCAGGAGTTACTCGAGCTTCATCTCTTCTCTCCTGCAAGCTCCGCACGGCTCCGCTGCTTGAACACTTGGGCTGCACTCGTACGCAGACATCTTCTTTGGTCACAAGGACGTGGAAGCTGCTGATGCGCACAACCCCTTGTATACGCTCTTGCTGTCAATGTTCTGCACGTGTTCTAGCTTATGGTCGTTGCGCCGGGGGAGCTTTCTTATCTCCTGCCTTTCCCATAATTTGCTCATTCTCTGCACGAGTTATCTGAAGTTAATTTGATGATCGAGTCAACCCTAACTTCGAATCTAGACACTACCTCAGCACAACTCCCATCACAGGGACCAGTAGGACGGACCCCGTCGGCCAACAACCAAGGTTTCTCATTTGGATCTAAACCCACTGCTACAAGCATGCTAAACTCCACCATGCTACCTCAAGGCCAACAGCAGCAAATGACTACTGTCCCGACACCAGATACCGTACCATCATTTCCGACCCAGCAACAAGGAATTTTCGTGTTCACATCTCCGCAAACCGGCATATCCTACACAAACCAGGAGCTCGATGAATGGTCGCGAGGCAAACTCAACGATCAAGGTGATAAGGTTTACTTTAAACCCGGTTTTGTTGACGCCGATCCTTGGTCTCGACTCCGGGCGGGTAGGAGAGACGAAATACAACAATAGCGAGAGCAGGGGGAAGACAGCTGGATCGGGGCAGAGATGACTGCAGGATGAGCATCGAGACTAGATGTGAGGATGGCGTCTCTTGCCTTGCTGTTGGCAGAATCAAAACCAGCGCCAAGCAAGGCCTATATTCTTTTACCGTGAGGCTTCTACTGAGCATCGGTGAGACTCCAACCCTCACGCCAATCGAGACAACGCCGCCTCCGAAGTCAACACAAGGACCACCGTCCACGAGAACCGCAATCGGCATTCCCCACCATTGAAACAACCTCCCTCACCATCCCGGAGAGGGTATCTTGCAACAGGACTCTCAGCAACCCCCCGAGGTAGGCACTCAACTCGGCCCCTTTCGGGAGGGTGAACACGAAAGCCATAGCTAGGGAGCAAATCCGCATTGTCACCAACCACGCCCGTTCGGGCCTTCTTATTGGCGTTGGTAGCATTGTCAAGATAGGACTTGTCACCGAGACTTAACTGCGACACCACGTCGAGCACCGGTATCACTACCCCATCCTCCGGCCTCAGCTGCTGCGATATGGGAAACACCTAAGAGAAGGCTCTTGGAGATACCCAATTGAGGATGTAAAGGCATGAATGTGATGTGAATGTGTAGGAATATATACTTCCTCTCTGCCTGACGAGTCCGTCCCACGCGAATCCCATTTCCACTCCCCAGCGAGAAGGCGGTTCACTCCACATTCAGCCACCGGAACTTATTGATCCATGTGTGTATGCATGCAGGCGCGCCATGGAGCGGCATGTCGCCAATAGTACCGCCTCACATGTAAGATGTAAGTGATGGGTGCGTAGGGGCTGAGATGGCGGTGATGACGGATCGACACCAACAGATCAGACCTGATCAGATCCAAAGCCTTCCGCCGGGCATGCATGTGAACACAAACGCCTAGCCTAGACGGGGGAGGGTAGATACTCGGAGGTGTAGAAACTCGGAGGTGTAGAAACTCGGAGGTGTAGAAACTCGGAGGTGTAGATACTCTGAGGTGTAGATACTCGGAGGTGTAGATACTCGAAAGGGTAGATATCCCGTACTCAAAACCATGATCGTAGCCACCAAAGCTCGTTCATCACCACAGGCCACGCGGCGAAACGAGCCCATAAGCCACAAGCCCCTGTGATGGCACCGACATCGACATTGGCATTGACATTAAGATTGATCTCGACACTAACACCAACACCGACACTGACATCAACATTGAAGTTGATCTTGATCTTGACAGTGATAGTAAGACTGACACCAACACCAACATTGACATTGATCTTGACATGGATAGTCACCTCGATCCTGCTCTTGCCACTCCCTTTACGCACGACACGACACGACATGGACCAGCAAAGAAAGGAAGGAAGGAAGAACAGGAGAGGGACACCAGCCAGCCAGTCATCCAACCAGTCATCCAACCAGGCAGCCAGCTGTGGCAGCCCTGACAGCCGTGACAGCCCCGACAGCCTCGTCCCGTCCCGCGGCGCCCCGTTGCGGCATCTAACCCTCTTGGAGTTTTGGAGTTTTGGAGTTTGAGAGCACCTACGCTTTGTCTCTGCCTCGTCGTGCATATAATTAACGGACATCTGTACACTGTAGGAGAGGACGAGGACGGAAAACAGAGGAGGAGACGGAGGCGGTGACGGAGGCGGAGGATTGAGTTGTTTACGTACCTACCTAGGTAGGTAGGTACTCGTAGGTACTCGTAGGTACCCGTAGAAACTCGTAGTAGGCATGTGGCCATGCTCACGTATACCGTATCCTGCCGTTCTGCTATGTACTTTATAGTATATACCAAAGACCAGAAACTGTGTGTTTACATACAGGTGTCTATATCTATATCTATATCTATATCTATTTGTATGTATGCCGTGTATGTCTATGTCTATGTATATCCGTGTATGTCTATGTGTGTCCTGCACCTGTGCCCCACCGATCACTTTTACTCAAACTCGCAACTCGTCAAGATTGACTCCAACTTCCACTTTGATCATAATCTTGTGTAGAGGGGGTTCGTACTTGGACTCGTACCGGATGGTCGGGCCCGCCTGTGCGGCTTGACAGTGACTTTTCCGATCAGGGTGTCGAGTCCTGCTCTCGTTTGCTGTACCTAGTCCGAGGCACAGTACTTGTGGTAACTTATGGTGAACCCGGATGGCATTGTCGGAAGTAAAGAATACTACAGCATAACTCTGCTAGGCTGGTGTAGGGGCAAGGACTACTGCAGTGAGCCTGCGATACGGTCCTTGCTTACAACTAAAAGATGCTTGGGTGCAGGTCACCTGCTGGAAGTCAGAAAGCGTCTTCACGCCTGTCTCAGCACAGAGAGCCTACCGAGCTTGGATTGAGCCCGCTGGTGCAGGCCTTGGAAAGCACATCAGGGTGCTTCATCCCCTGCTTAGGCGGGAAATATTGGAAGGTGGCCTGCTCGGCCGCCCTGTCACCACTACGATGCCTACAATGCCGCGTTCTTATCACCGAAAAGTCAGAGTGGCCGAGGCGAGGCAGCAAAGCACTGGCTCCCTGACAGTGCCTGGCCTGCCGCCTGGAGAGTTCCTGTGGGCTGCCTCCATCCCCCTACGACCACTTCGTCTGTAGGCCCGACCTCAACCTACGCGCTCGACCCTTGGCCCCTACAGACACCCCGAAGGCCGAGGGAGATGAAGTGCCGGGTTGGCCAAGATTTCAACTTTTCGATTGCAACTGCCAAAGAATCTCGGTAAGAATACATGGGAAATGAAGGGAGACAGGGGAAAAGGCACCACTTCGATCGAGGCCGCCATTCAGAAAGAGGCGTCCCAGCTCGCTCACAATTGCCCCCCAGAACCCAGAGAAATGATCACGGCAGAACCCTCACAGCACCAAGTCCCGTCAAAGCCAGCCTGGCCGGGCCTGGCTCCAAATCTGGCTTAGCCAGCACACCACAATCCCCACACCATCTGCAGCTTCCACGCTCCGTCACCTGCAAGGTCGCAGGCCATGTGACTGCGAGGAGGGGAAGCTGCTGGATGTAGCAAACACCTCAAAAACGGCCTGGGAAGCTCGACACCCAATCAGACAGCCGAGAGAGTGGGACGAAGAGTCAGAAAATGACAGTCGTACCTGCATGAAGATTTCGCGTGGCACCCGCTCGGCGACTGCTGGCTGGACGTTTTGATTGCTGCACGGTCGATCGCTGCAGTGCAAGTTCGGCACTGGCATTTTTCCTGGTTGCAGAAATGGGCCTGGCGTCATGCACGCCATCGCCCTGGCAAGCCATGCGGGGCAAAAGCAGCGAGAATCTTGACCCATTTCGCGGGGTGGAGCGGAACCCTAAAATCACTGCCACGTCAACAGCACGGCGGAAGGCCGCCAAGGCCGCATTTGAGGCTCCCGGCGAATGATTGTTCGAGGCTGCTGATGGATTCTGATTTGCTGCTGTCAGACGTCGATCAATGGTTTGGGCGGAGCGGTAGGCCGGCGGGAAAAAAGTCATTCTCAAACCACCCGCTTTGCGAACAGGCGGAGCCCCAGGAAGTATGTGGGACGGTAAGAAACCTGCCAGGCATGAAAAGGCAAAGAAATTCGTAGCATCGTGAATCGTAATCGCCGTGGACTTATGCATGGCGGCTGCGGCTGGCTTTGGCATATGCTTCGGGATGCTTTTTCTCAGCCTTGGATTTCATTGATCTGCAAATGCGTGCGTCAGCCGGAATGTCTCCTGGTGCCGGTGACAGCCTTGGACGCGTAACTTACGAGATTTTCTTGGATGTGTACTCGATGTCGCGCCGGGCTTCCTTGGCCGCTTCGACGCCTTCCGCGAAATTGACCCTTGCGCGACCCAGTCTGCGCTGTGCCATCGCTTGCAATTCCTGCAATTCCCGCTGTTTGGCGTTGAGTTCGCCGGAACTGCCCATGGTCAGTCCGTGGCTAGTATTTTGCAGTCCGGCCACTTACGTTTGCGCTTGCTTCGCCAGTGATTTATCCATCCGGAGCGGATCAAAGGCGGAATTCATTCTCTCGCTAAGCTCTTCGACGACATCTATTCCGGAGCGCGAATAGTGAGACTCGTAGTCTGTGCCGCTGTGGCTTCCAGCATAGCTAGAGCCAGATCTGACGGAAAAGGAGCCGCCGGACCGGCCACTGCTGCTGTAAGATGTACTGGAATCTGAAAATTCCGGGGCATCGGCAACACGCGAAATTGGCTGAGTGTAGATCGGACCCTTGCCGGACGGTGGCAACGTAACTGGCAGGGCCTTCTGGTGGCTACCATAGCTGACGGGATGACGAGAATAGGTAGTGGTGGCCATTGAAGAAGATGGCGAGGATGAGTACGCTCAGGAACTGGGACTTGTGGGGGTGAAGTGGAAGCGGGGTGTAGTCAAGAGGGGTGACTGGACAAGTAGAGGAGTTGGTGGATCAAGGAGATGCTCGCTCAATGTCTGGGAGGGAGTGGTATGAAAGGAAGAAGGAGAAAGAAAGGTTTCCGGAACGATCACACGGGTTTTTATAGCCATGATGAGCGCTACTCTCGTCACAGAGGAGCAGGGGAGGAGATTGCCAGCTCATCACTCACCTCTGAGCAGACCAATATGATTGATGGACGAAGGGGAGGGCGGTGTCATGCCACACCCACCGACCCCGCTTCATGAGCAGGATGATGAGACGAGTAGGACCAATGTGAAGCGGACAAAGACAGTTTCGAAGCAGGGTCGGCACCGTCCGTGACCTTCCGCCCGGCAGACCGAGGAGAAGAATCAGTTCCCAGCCGACCACAGGGAGTCGAGAGAGCCCCTCCATGAGCAGAAGACGGCAGGGTGGGATCAGAATTTCAGCTGAAGCCGAGTCAGGCAGCTGAGGGGAGGGAACGGGACGTCGAAGACGATCATTGGGTCGATGAGGCATTTTGCCAGGACTTGAGGCCATTAGTCGCGGGATCTAGAGGCGAAGCGGCGGACGGGGAGTGGCTGTCTGAGAAGGCGAATGGAGCGAGGACGGAGAAGGTTCG